AACCAATGCTGTGCCCTGAGTGCCGGCCTCAGGCTGAAACTGTAATCATTATTACTAGCTTAGATTAATATATTTAGATTTGAAAAGCTACAGGTTTCTTATTTGATTTTTTATGGTGACAATTGCAGTTAATCTCGGTTTCCAGGTGCATTCGCTCCCGTGTCTCCTAAGACCCGCCTCAGTCATCATCGTGGACTACCTCAAAGAAGCGGCTACAGAATTTCCGATCTGCTCCATGTAAGTGAAGTTTTTGAAAGTGAAGTTTGAAGTGCAACTACAATTTGTGGTGGTGGCAAAAATTGGACCGTCCACATCGGGTTTGAAACGCGTGCGCAGGTTCGTGACAAGAGCGCACTCCCGCCAGCTTGATCTAAAATCCCTTCCGTTTTTTTTCATGTGAGTTGCACAGTGCCTACAGTCATTCTCGCTGCAGACGCTGGGATGCGGGGGCTGCATTTGACGCGGCGCCAGCCTCTCCTCTACCACTGTTTAAGCTGGCAAGCTATCACAATCGGTGGCTGGCGCTGCTCCGACCCAGCACCTCCCTCCCTCACCCCCGATTCGCCCCAACGTCAACAAGGAATACGACTATATTCCACGTAAGGTATAGACACGTGCATCATCGGGATTTGTGAAGTGGCTATCAGTACGACGAACCCTCCTGACGGCCCAATACCCCATCAAAGGGGTCTCGGAGGGGGAAATCACTGAAAGAGATCTCTCAACACTCCCTTATGGAATCCGCGCAACGGTCCTATATCCTAGCTGTAACGTCTTGTCGCTGCAGGGCTTATCAAACGGATTGGATTTGGGACGGCGCCAGCCCGTCTTCCACTGATTATCTTTGCTTGTACGCTTCGACAGTTGGTGGAGAACAGGCTGGCGCAGCGCTACACCAGCCCTTGACACGCCCCAGCTGTAAACAGCCCTACAGCTAAGATATTATCGCCTCCAGAGTCAATTCAGCTTCATAATCCCAATTTTCCATCTTGAAACCCATTTTTGCAGGACGATCCACTGTTCCGAAAATCGGAAGAATTCGCCACCACAGAAACAAAGGTTCATCGAGTACCCATCAAACTGGTGCAGGCCAACTCTACTCAAGGTAATTTCGTTGAAACATATGCTAACCATAAGTTGGCTGACTCAGAATATGACTCATTCCTCCAAAAGGACATTAATATTGACCATGAGTTTTTCCTAATGAAAAACCTGGGTACGTAATCAAATTTCTCGTCTTGTGACATAGTACGTATTTGCAGACTTGACGGCAGCGGCAAACCGACTGCGAAGAGATTTCGGCGCTCTAAGCGAACAAGAAGAAACGGTAGAAGCAGAAGATCAGCTCATGGACAGTCCGACTAGCCCTGATGCGAAACATGCCCGAAGTAAGCTAGTGGAGAATCCTACTTGATTTAGATTTCTCTCAGAAGAGATTGGAGAAAATCGCCGATTCTTAATGGTATGGGAGTCTGAAGGTTATAATTTTTCCAGCCATGTCGTTCCCACTGACGATCAACGTCGACACGCAAAGCGTTACGTCGGATTTGCCCAGTTCGCTGTCATCCTCCGTGAATAGTTTCGTCTACCAAGGAGTCAATCAAGAAGCGCTACGAAGCAGCTCAAGACGCTCAGGTAAGCGCGTGCTCTTTTTCGTTACTGGAATAAGTCAGTTGGGCGATTCCTTTATGTCTGGCGACGCTAGTGCTCATGGCTAATGAATGGACGCTAAATGCTGATTCAAAGAAACTTGTCGCTAACGATATGGTGAGGCAGCGCGAAGTCACCTGTCACCAGTCAGGGTCAGTTTGTGAGTCGCCTCTTCTCCTCTCCCCCTCATGTGCATAACGAGTGAAAGTAGGGGGCAACTTTTTAAAAAACACTTTTGTTCCTGAGGAAACGTGTGGTCCTTCGCACATTCAAGGTGGAACTTTTTCGTACCGTAGGGAGTGTTCAAATTCAGCGAGACGCGCCTGGTCGCACTCGTTCGGGCGATCGATGCAGTCGAAGCATTGCATCGATCGCGCCAAACGCGCGAGCGAAGGGCTGCCGTTGGCGAGGTTTGAAAAGGTGCGTATACAGGCAGCGTGGAGTCGCGCAATCGGTTTTGAGTAAATCTTACCGTCGAACCAAGTCACATTGTACGTTGGGATACTCAGCGAGGGGGCCTGGGTCATCACAGGGGGGGGAGCGGCGAGGGGTCGCAGTTGTCTGAAAAAACGTTTTCGGTTGCGGTTGTTTCAAGCGTCAGGCGTGCTGGAGACCCCCTTCACCACTTTCGACTGCACTTTTTGTGAAGAAGTGGAGGAATTTTTAGGTATGAAAATACTCTGGAAGAGTGGGAAGTTGAGAAAATTGAGCAAGTTGCTAGGTAGGATGGGGGAGAGGGGGGAAGGGGTCGTCATCACAGCAGGAAATCTGGTAGGTCCCATATCGCAAGAAATTTCCCCAACAGCAGACCTGCTTTGCACAACGAACAGGTGTGCAACGCGTCCGTGAAACTTGGCCAACGAGCGCGCGGTCGCGCAGCAGTAAACGTGTTCGGTCCAGTCCATGATAGCGATAACACGCTCACTAACAATTATTCTGTAGTATAGTATGACAGAACACTCATTTTTAAGGCCGCATCTTGCATGGCAGTGGTTCCGGATGCAAGTGGCGTAGTCAATCCGGAAAAGATCCGCGATCAAATTAGCGCAGTGAAACGACAGTTGGACGTCTTTCAACAGCTGATGGCCGATGCCAAAGGCGAGCTTGATTTGGCAAAAATGGAGGAAGAAAGTCAGGTTAGGCTTTTCGCTATACATTTTTACTGGAGCCTGTGGTGTTACCACTCGAATAGGCGCTTTTTCCCGATCATTTTATCCCAAGCGCATTACAAAGCGTGTAATGGTTCTGAACTTGCTGGGGTCCTCTTTTCCACTCGCGCTCTGTCGTTGTACGAAAAAAAAACCGAAGAGAAAACCTCATGTGAATAATTTCAGGATTCTGCAGCAGTTGATGATATGTGCGAACCGTCACCTTCCTCATCCCATACCGATTCTGAATCGCCACGGGATCGTCGACTTCATCACTGCACTCATCCTCATTGTGGGAAGGTCTACACTAAAAGCAGCCATCTGAAAGCCCATTACAGAACACATACTGGTTAGTTGTGTTATATTATCAGATATGTCAGAATACTGCTCCACTTTCCTGAACAGGTCGTAATCTCCCAGCGCGCCAATTGCACCTGAAGGTGAAGCGCGCGGCCGGATATACTCATATGGTGAAAATAGAGGGGGCGTGACTGCATGCTTCATTTAAGCAACGACGGCTGAACTTCTGGTGGGCTTTGCCGTCGGAGCACTTGCAACTAAGTCTTTGTGCAGCACCGCGTAAGATGGAAACATCCTACGGGAAACGCGTCATTTACCGTGTTCAAGTGAAATACGCGGCCACGCCCTCTCCATCTGCGGAATATGGAGCGCACTTTGGGTTGTGGGCTCACGCAGGGGTAACCAAAGTGCCAAGAACGTCAGCGGCGGAAAGAAATCGTCGCCAAAGCTTTTATAGGAGCAGAAGGCGGGCAAAGGGTGCAGTGAGACGAGATCACCAGGTAGTGAAGCTGTGCTCGATGGTCGCCTCAAATGATGCTAGCTAATTCAATATCGAGTTTTGTCACTGCTCACGTTCTTTGGCGGGTCCCCTGTTATTGTGACAGGGCACAGCGGTCGGCGGAGCCAATAAAGGTGGGTGGTGGGTGGAGCCAACAAGAATATTGACGGCCTAGGTGCCCTCATCACTCGATTTTGTTCGCAGAAATGTTGAAACTACTACCACTGCGGGCCGAAGTTCCGGCTTGCGGAGGGAGAGCATCTTGTGGAGTTATGATAGCCCCCGGATTGATTGGTCAAGGTGTGAGCCCGTGTTCAACGGTGGAAGCAATCACACTTAGACAATAAATAATTTATTAGCAACTAATAGCGCAACATGAACGAGAAACGGTAATAGAAATTGAATAAGACGAGGTATGTGGAGGAGGGCGCAGCGGGGTCAAGGAGAGGACCGCCGCCGACGATTACTGGAGTCGAATCTGAAAGTAAAGTAACCTCATGGAACTCCTGCCTGGTCTCTCCCGCCAGGCCCGCCAGATCATAGGTAGTCAAAAAGGAGTTCGTGGCATTCTCTGCCCCTTTCCATGGGTGGTCCACTTTGACCTCTCCGGGCTACTGTGCCCGCCTCTTCATTGGCGGTCCCCCTCCTTTGACCCACAATCTCCCTATTTAATAGCGAAAATTGCCTTTAAAGGCCCCTCAGGATATTATCGTGTACTCGACTACTTTTTATACACGACTTTCATCAAAGGCACGGTCCTCGATAAAGAGCCTAGGTGATTCTGCAGAAATGTGGAAGAAAATTTGCCAAGTGAACCATCTATGAAGAGAAAATGCCAAAGGGAACGTTGGAAACGCATTCGTCAGGCCTCCTCTAGCCTCAAACAACTGTAGAGGTAAAAGACCGAAAAGACCGCGCGCTGGGACAATTCCCGTCGGCTGATTCCCAGTAATGAACCCTATGACTCTACAAGAGACATTGAATGCATCCACTCCATGATACTTGCCCGGGAGCATTAGCTGGAAGGCCGACTTTGGAGGCGGAGTCACTGGAAAAAGGGATGTACCACTGAAGCAACTTTGCGCCTTAATCCCTTTACCGTACAACTTTCCGCCGCGAAACTGGCACAGGGTTGTCCACTCCGGACCGCACTACCTTCCCACATAACCTCTTGCATTTTCATAGGTCATCGCGGACCGCTCCTTTAAAGAATTCAAGAACTATTGCGTACTAACTCTCTATTTATATTTAACATAGCATTTACAGGTGAAAAACCGTACTCATGTCCATGGCCCGGTTGTGAATGGCGGTTTGCACGTTCGGATGAACTCACTCGTCACTACCGTAAACACACCGGAGATCGGCCTTTCAAATGTGCTCAATGTTCGCGAGCCTTTTCACGTAGCGATCACCTCAGTTTACATATGAAACGGCATTTCTGATATTCTGCTCAACGATGTTCCTTGTGTCTTGTTATCTGTGATTAGCCTCTATTGTTGTGCTGCCGAAGAAGATTTATGAAATAAAATCAGGTCTTAAGAAATGCCTTCGTTCACAACCTTTCTGATCGCATTGAAACGCTCATCCTCGTTTTCATTTATCGTACTTTGACGCCATAATTTATCGCTTCGCTCATTTTTTGATTCACTTAATCACCCTTTTTTCTAAAAGTAAGCCCTCAAATGAGTCGGGGACCTTACCCTTTCGGAATCAAGGTAGTTCGGGGGTGCCACGCGACTGCGCTATGTTGCAGCATGTGCGAAGCGAGGTGTCCTATACACCCCCGAATTACTTTTGCTCGTTCTACTTATTATCATGCAACTCTCTCTATCCGTGTCTGCCTCTCTCCTCTTTCCTGCTTCCTCCCTCAATTTTGCTATTCTCGCCTATGATTCACTTAGTGCTAGTCCTTCCCATATATATCGGGTGACTGATTAGTTTGAAGATCTGACAGCCGGTTATTTGTACGATTAATTAACATCGATCACGGATCTATTATTGACTCATCGATTCGCGCAATAGTACGAGCACTTTCTCTAGTCACCACCGTTGTGACGTCGTTCACTTTGTAGCGTTTTATTTATGCTATCTGGTGAAGTTCAAATGAAAACGATAAACATTTTGCTCAGTTTTTGTGTTCTTTGGCTGTTACGTGAGAGAATTTGATCATTCTATGTGAGAAATTTCCTTCGTAGTCCAAATTCCGGACCTCAAATCCCTCCAGCTCTCTTTTGAAGGCATGTTCTGTTCTGCCAGTGGCAGTCGTTGCTACGTGCAAGGTGGGTACTCGTCCGCAGTCATACAATCGTGCTAATTTCGTCGCTCGAAAGTGCTTAGAAAAGGGGCTACAGGGCAAAGACGACCGGATGTAGTTTAGGGCTCCACCCACAGGCAAGCACCACAGACGCAAAATGCAGCACGACTAAGCACTCGCCTAACCATAGCCAAACGCGCTTCTTGTCTGCGCCACCTCATGTTTGATTGTGCACTGTGCTTGGCCCCGATAGGCAGCTTGAAATCTTGTTCACAGCGGGACCTCAGCGTCAACGCGTTTGGCCACACACTGTGGGTAGCGGTGGTGTCCCAGACGGCATCCAACTACCACAAATTTTTCACTGCCGATATCGGCTAAGCAGCTCATCACGTTAGACGTGTAGTGCTGGAAGGCGATGGCACAAACAACCACTGAACTGAGGGGTACCGATAGCGTGATGGATAACGCAAGCAGCCCCGGTAAGTGGGAACTGCGGGTTCGAGCCCCGCAGTGGTCTGAATTTTGCTCATAGCTCAGCACTCGTGCGATAACTTTCAAATCGCGCACTGGCGTTGAACAGCAGTTAACTAACAAATACATCTTTAGCTTCATTTACACGCACTTACTAATAAAA